CCTGGGCAACGTATACTCATACGGCAAAAAAAGCCTATTAGTCGGCAGTTGACTTTTAACTACCATCACCCCACTGTATGACATATTCCACCATTTCAGCAGATTTCGTCTTACCTTTTACTCAACCTTTGTGTCTGTTTATCTCTTTTGCATCCTTGAATCACTTTTCTGTTCCCCCTCCTCCTCCTCCTCTGTGAAGCCTGAAGTCAGCTAAAAGGCTAATGATAACTATCAAAATGCCTGCCATTTGAAATAAATATATTAGTTAATTTTAAAAATAAATCAAATCAATGAAGAAAACAACATTTCATTCTTCAAAGTTTGCCCCAAGGTAATGAACTGAAAAACCACTTTCCCCAAATAATCACATTATAACCTGATGACTAACTGATAGTACAACCGCTTGCACGACTGACACAACTGTTCACAAACGGGGCGAATATGATAACACCATTATCTAGAAGGATTACTACAATAAGGGATTAAGAACACAAGCATTAATCACAAAATAGTAATACCATTAACACATTTCTACAATCCCACGAATGGCTGTAGAACTATAGTCTCTAGATGTGTCCACAAAACAGTGGAAAATCATTGACGACGTCCCCTCTGTCCACGTGGCACAGATGAATGGCAAACTCCCAAAATTAAATAGCACTTCAAAGGACCCCCTCCCCTCCCCCTCCAATTCCAAAGTGACCAACAAACATCACCCAAAATGAGGCCCTCCTAGCTTTTTTCCAATTTTTTTTTATTTATTAAAACACCAAAAGGGAATAAGGCGACTACATGCAAGTGGACAACAAGCAGCGCCTATCCAAACGATTAACCTATAACACACAATAAAATTAAAAAGCCAAGCGTTCATAATTAACCTCCCCAATAATCAAATAAATAACCTCCACACCCACATTTGCGGTATTTCTGATCTATTGAGAAACCGAATTGAATAACGCCAGCGCATTTTGTAGGAAGGAGAAAGAGGCCTGGCCAAGTGTGGCAATGTTCCATGTTATAACAACATGGGGGGACAGGAAACAGACCCATATACGAGGTCCATTCTTGTTGTCAGGGATCGACTGCAACAACTGTTCAACAGATAACTGAATTCTTTGACGAGGTATTACCAAACCGACATGAGGTTACAGTAGAGAGAGAGAGAGGGAGTAAGCGTGTGCGTTAAATACCATTTTCAGGAAAAAAGATCAGTTTGCCACCGCCATTGACACTGATAGCCCAGATGATTCATTTCCCCCAATACATAACGGACCTTTATGGACACCATAGAGGTATTGCAAAAAAGCGCCGGTGGAGTGCAAGAAAATAAGGCGTTATTCATTGAGATTCGAAGATTTTGCAGTGAATAAGAAAAATTTATTGGCAAGAAAATAAAGGGAATCTAGTCGTGCATGGCTCGACGCTCCTTGTGGTTGGAATAAGAAGGGTGGGGGGGAGGGGGGCTTAATAGGGAAACAAAAGACAAAAGTGAAAAGAACCAATAGGCGATGGTGGAAAGCAGATGGCATGGAGTAATGAGTGCAACAGTGTGGCGATGGATCAACCTTCAAATGCAATCAAAAGGGGACTAGATTAACTCCGCTTTCCCGATCTACAAGTTCGATACCGGCGTTAGAATAGAAAATGAGAGCATTTTGAAGTTGGAAAAGACACGACAAAACGAAATAAAATCCTATAAAATATAAATACCAGGAATTGCAACAATAGCTGGTTTTCCAACACTAAGATCATTATTCTACCACAGTATGTAAATAAGGTAGGCCAACAACCCACGCGCCAAAGGAGTAATGAGCAACAATTTAGAAATATAGCTAAGCATTGAAATTAAGGGAAAGAGATAGTCAGCGCGTATTCATCGCACTTAATTGAATAAAATTGCGCAATTCATTAGCCAACATTGCTACAACAATGGCAGTCAATTTTGAAGCTCTCCCTCCCGTCCTCCCCCCCCCCCCCCCCCCCCCAACCCCATTCAGGAGCGTTAGAGGAATAATTTAACCCACCGATGGATAAAATTGTTGGCTTCCAAGTACGCCATACCAGATGCGATTTGGACGGCCATGTAGAGAAGAACTGGAGGGGTGAGTTCGCCGGGTGAACGTTGACGAAGATAGTTGAGGAGATTTCCATGGGGCATATACTCCGTAACGATATAATAGGGTGGCTCTCGTGTGCACACGCCTAAGGGGCAAAGAAATTTTTTAAAGTAAGGAGACTGGAAATAACCAACATCTAGAATATTAGGCAAGCAAAAATGTATGACGTTATGTGAAGAGATTTAGAAGTATAGTCTGTAAAGGCCTGTGGTATTAACACCAAATCCGGTTAGTTTCCACTCTTAAGGTCGTAATTTTAGTGATTATGCGGGTTAACTACCAAAGTTGAGTATATTTTGAGGAACGAATCTTTGGCTACAATTAGTGGTATATAAAAACGAAATTGAACTAATATTAAACCAAAGCAAAAAAAGGAAATAACGACAGTGCGAGAAAGAGAGAGAGATAGGGAACTAAATTTTACATTCACGACGATTTCTACTGCGGGAAAAATGACAAAACAAGTGCCAACAGGGACGAAGTTATTCGTAATGGCAACGTGTACTTAAAGAATCATTTTCCGATTAAATCTGTAGAAGTTGCTTATGAACCTAGATCAGAGTTAAGGGATTTTAAACAACTAGTCAGATATCACCACGTTCATATCTGCAGGAATATAAAAATATCCGTGAGGACTCAAATGACAAGTCTCACAGTACTCCCACCTCGATTCCACCCATTATTCGACATATCTCCACTCTTCACTTCTCGAGTGAATTCTCGTAGTGTTCGTTAAGTATGTCAACCGTATATCGTTCCTATCTAAATTACCCCCCGCCCCAACTCTGAAGTCCCTTGCCATCCAACCCCCTCCCCCNACCCCCCCCCCCCCCCCCCTCCTCCCGCCGCCCCACTTTCCTTCCCATACGCTAGGTCTTTCAGAGAGCTCCGTCATAATGTCCAGTGTCCAACCCTCTCTCTATTCCTATTAGGTCTCACTAAAATATTATCGCTGCTAAGTCCCGTGACCTTCTTCGTACACTGTACAACTTAGGTTCTAGGGTCAGTAGCATTTGCCACCCCTCTCCACCTCCTCCTCCTCCCCCCCCCCCNNNCCCCCCCCATCAACAGTAATTAGTCTCCAAACGACTGCGAAATTGTAAAAAAAATATCACTGATCAAGTAATGTGTTGTAAATCCAATTTTAGGTCACACATTTGGAGAAGAAGAACTTAAAAATCATAAATTCCCACACAGACACAAAAGTAATGTGTCGCCAAAACGCAAATGTCACAATGTTTGCATTCGATCAACAGGCAACAGATCTTCATTGTATGCAGAGTCACCTTGAAATGTTATCCAGCAATTTAATCGCAGGAAGCTCCGTTTCGCACAAATAAAAAACGCCCCCGCAATTATATTCCAAGCCGAAAAATAGAATCATCAATGCAGAAAATAACCGAAAGATTGTCAAATTAGCAACCAATGACAAAATACCTTACCCCAAGTGAAACAATGTTTACATCAAGTCTAAAGTCACACGCTAAGGGAAAAATAGGGAAACATAAATTTCCCCTTCAGAAGGGACTGTGACGTTGAATGGGCAAATGTCAGTAACAAAATTTATCTCCCATAGAGCACATTTGGCGAGGACAAGTGCAAGAGACAATTACTAAGCATGTAGACATAGAAGAGGGGGAATTCATTTCTCAAATTCACGTATGGATCACTTCACCGCCGATCGCCAGTTGGAATAATTAATCAATCAGTAGAGCTGCAGTCATTTGTGAACCATATAGACTTACCTCAACGTGGTGCACCCTGGGCAACGTATACTCATACGGCAAAAAGGTCTATTAACCGGCAGTTGACTTCTGACTTCAAACTACCATCACCCCACTGTATGTCATATTCGACTATTTTTACAGTACTCACCTCGCCTTTGTTCTAACTTTGTGTTTGTCTCTTACATCTTTGAAACACTCTTCTGTTCCCCCCTCTCGACTTTTTTTCACTTTGATGTTCCTTCCCCTCTGTGAAGCCTGAAGTCAACTAAAGGGCTAATGATAATCATCAAAACGCCTGCCATTTGATATAAATAAATTAATATTGCACGAAACCCCCCCAACCCTCAATTTCAATTCTAAGAAAGTATTTTAACATTTCATATCGAAATTATTGTGTGATGGCCAAAATGCATCGGTCTGACTCCACACACAGACACACACTACCTCATCAACTGGCAGAGGTGGGCGGAACTGCAGCAGGTAATCATGGCAGCACGGGATTTATGGTGAGCATTAATTTGCAATGAGGAAAATATGCACAAACACATAGTTGGGGACGTGGCAATGAAGTACGGCCGTTTAAGCACAAGAGAGTTCCGATCCGAAAAAAGATCAAGGTTAAGAGAGAGAAGACTGAGATTGGCTTCGATGATGCGAGTCTGCGAAGTAGTCGGAATTAGCAAAGTAAATTTTCATCAACGCATAACCGCAATTGGGAAATGGTCAACCAGGGTGGCTAACATATATTTCTAAAATACAACTTTACCACCGATATTAGTACTAAAAGATGTTGGGGCAATGCTTCCCTCAATGAACTTGGGATATTTAAGTGGCCTGGTAAAGCACTACATTCAAAGGTCCAATAAGTTCCGTCCTGATGCAATCCTCAATAGAAAAAGATATGCTAAAGAAAGCGTTCTGCAGCTGCTATAAGTAATTTGCAAATACAGTTATCACTGTCATTCGATGACAGCCTTCTAACTGATAAGACGAGTCACTTGGAAGCGATTTGCAACAGTGCTGACAATCACAAGTCTCAACTAAATTACGTGAATACATCATCTCTAATGTATAAGGTAATCGTCTGATGCATTACCACTTAATGGTCGTTAAATGAGGTCGAATTGAGCGTATAATAGAGAGTCATGCTGTGTAAATCATCGCCTCAGTTGGTAGCTTATTCATTTGGAAAGGATTTCAAACTAGATTATCAATCACTGAACATTACGTTCATGAATATAATTCTCTCCCCACCCCCACCCCCACCCCGACCCTCCTCCTCTCTCCAACTACCCCTGAATTCTAACTTAAAGAAGTGATCGTTGTCCAATAAATAAACACAATTGACAACCCACTGAATTCAGGATTTATTAAAAGAGCTGACACTAATCCCATTGGAAACCAATACGAGGATGAGCGTTAAGGCAACATCGTAGCATATCACACTTCATCCATCCATCCACTCACCCACCCACCCACCCCAAGAGATTAATTGAAGCGGAAGTCCTCTGCTCCAATTTAGCACATTCGATTTATGGAAGTGGACTTTAAGAGCAAACCCAAAACCTCCAGCAAATTAAAAATTTAACCGAGTTTTTTGACATACTCCAATTCCTAATTAAAAAAATATCCCCCTCCCTCTCCCGTGGTAGAGTTAATTACTGCACGCAGATTTCAGTCAAAACTGAGGGGAGAGATGGACTTATTTATTACCATTTAGATTGAAGAGAGAGAGAGTGAGGGGGAGGGGTGGGGTGGGGGAGAGAAAGAGAGTGCAAAAGCGCAACTGATGGCATAAACTGACAGGTAAACAAATCGAGAAAAAAAGGCCTGTTAAGCAGGCAGTCAGTTTTTCTTTCCCCTATTCGAAAACCAAATCGGCAATAATTAAATATTCTTAGAAAGAGATATTAATTGTGGAAAAATACATAAACATGCCGTCTTGGGTAGGAAGTGGGAAGGCAGTTTTTAATTGCAAAAAAAAAGATAATTGACGATTGTAGAAGTAAATGCACAGATCCAATAGCATCCTGATTAAGAGAAGTGGAGATGATTGTACTTGGTATTGCCAAAGCGACTGGATCCAGAACAGTAAATAGTTAGTGAGGGGTGTGTGATAGACTTACCTCCACGTGGTGCACCCTGGGCAACGTATACTCATACGGCAAAAAAGTCCATTACCAGGCAGTCGACTTCAAACTACCATGACCCCACTGTATGTCATATTCGACTACCTTCACAGTACTCATCCCACCTTTTTCCCACCTTATCTGCCTTCGTCTTTGATACACTCTTCTGTCCCCCCCCCCTCTTGAATTTTTTTACACTTTGATGTTCCTTCCCCTCCGTGAAGACTGAAGTCAACTAAAGGGCTAATGATAACAATCAAAACGCCTGCCATTTGATATAATAATAATACTAGATATTTATTGAGAGGGAGTTCGCCTTAGAAGATCCATATGCATCAATAGCGTTGCGAACTCCCACCAATCTCAAGAAGGGAAGGCGAGTTTTGCGTTAGAAAACATGGGGCTAAATAGGTGCTCTGAGACACCACCTGAACTGCAATTATGCCTAAATGACAGAGGAAAACTTATTCAGCAGGTGGTATTTAAAAAAAAAATTGGACAATCGGTAATCGGATTGATAATTAGAAGGCTCGAAGAAAAATAAAGGTAAAACCGAAATTCGAGATGACCTTGTGGTGGATGGGTGTGGGAGGGGGGGAGGAGGAGGGGGAGGAGGGCGTAATACAAATTTCCAATTAGTAAGATATTAAACGAAGAAAGTAAACAAAATGCTCCGACTCAAAAAATATGGTCAAAAACGCCGGCAATTCTTTTTTTCCCCCGGTTGACTTGTCAGAAATTGAAAAAAAACGTGTGTCATTTAGAAATAATAAAGCGGGGAGGAAGGTAAACAGGTTCACGAATGCAAAGTCATAATTCGAGGCACGGTAGTTAATTGAAGAGAAATGGGGAAACAATTAAGCATCACGTATCGTCTGAATTATTATATAGAAAAAAAGTGATGAGGATATTAGGTAGAATAACAAAAGCAGTACTGAAATGGTAATAAAGTTGCGCTTGTAAATTGCAAAGTGGAGGGGGGGGGGTGTGTGGGAATTAAGTAATAGCCCTTTCAACCAATAGGAAAATAAAACGGAAAATAGGGACCTACAGTACACATAGGAGAATTCAACCGAATATGCTCAAAAGTGGATGGGAAAACAGGCTATTTCCATCAATAGAGCAGGGTTATACCTTACTCCAAAAAACCGAAATAGAGGGAAAAATGTGGGCTCTAATGATCGAAAGACAAACTCACTGAATTGATTATTATTTCACTACTTCAACAATAGCAATAACAGGTACAAACTATGGCCTAAGATCATTAAAATAATATTAGTCAGCAATTTGTCGAGATGGTTACGATGGGATGACACTATCTCAAAGACAATTAAGTTGCCTATAAGGTATACTAAAATATGAGCTATCACCAAACTTAGCAGTTCTGAAAGGGTGGTCATAAATTCGCAAAGCCAAGAAAAATCCTACGTATGATTTAATTACCATACTGATTTAAACAAATTTACCAGGCCTTAGATACAAGGAAGACGACAATAAAAATGCTGCCAATTATAGATCAATGAAAAAAGCCAATGTAGGGAGAATGGGAGATCCCATCGATACTCTTGGGAGACTATGTCGATGCCCATTTCCCACTAATCACAACTCGATCATCAATTAATCGATAATTTCATAAGCAGACAACAAATTAATTGGAAATAAATAAGATTGCTACTGGCACTAGCAAACGAATCAAGAAGAAAGTGTGTAAACTACAGATATAGTGAAAGATGATAAGTAGAGACTGAATTCAACCCAGCAATTCATTATGATCTAAAGTGCAGAACGTTGAGGCGGATATAAACCTCGCTATCATCTTCCAGGACAAAAGAATTAGTAAGGACTAAATTAAAGCAAAAAATTAGCATTTAACATGACATAAAGAGAGGGGAGCTGAATTTCGTCCTAGTAAATGGTGTGATCTGAAAATCATGGCATTCGACAATAAATAATGGTTCTTAAACCTGAGCTTTAGAAGGCAGCAGTTATTGAGGAAAATAAGCATGATACTGTCAAAACATCCTCTTTCGAGTGCTTGCAGGTTGCGGAGATTTCATTTTGACAAAAGAAGCGAGAAAGACGATAAGTAATACGCAAGAGGATGTATTTGAAAATTGGTTTGAGATAAAAAATGCGAATAGGAAGCAACTTACCAAGAAGACGGACAAGATTTTTGTGCTGAAGGTTCTTCATAATCGAGGCCTCCGCGAGGAAATCATTCAGATTAAGATCCACGTCTTGCTACAGAAAAAGGGAGAGAGAGTCCATAAAGCAGGGAAAGAACAAGATGTTGGATATAGACGGCTTAATTTGTGAGAGATTGTGAGTTAACGTAAATGGAGATTACTGACGTATTTAAGGAGGTAAGGGGTAGACGAGCTTGGAGACGCGTTTGAACTAGGCATTTGAGTCATAAGAAAGGATCGTAGTGAGACAGCATAGAAAGGGACCTAGGGAAAGCGTCATAAAGTTCTTTTTGAAAATGGTGATGAAAAAAGCAAAATGACAGAAGCAATTCAACAGTGACTTCCTCCTGTGATTCAAACGTGGACTACATGCAAAAGTAAGCAGATGATGGATTCTCAAATATAGGCACCTCCATGCTTGAAAACGCGACTCCTTCAAACTGTCACTCATCACAATGGAACAGGTGAAAACTCTCTGAACCCCAGATTCCTTGTCTAGACCTAAAGTAATGATGGTGATTGATGCCAATTCACGTAAATTAGGACTAACTGGCGGTGCTAATCTAGTGACGGCCAAATAGCCAAAAAATGGTCTGCGAAGAGAACACGTTGAAGCCGGTAGTACCAAATCACACAAAAAAATTGTTTCGAAGTAGATTTACAATTAAAAATTCAAACTCTTTAACCTAGTTTTGTAGACATCCGCTAATTCAACACAAAAAACGGCCATGGTAATGGTAGCGATAAAACAGAACTAAGCAATATATACAACACAACCTAATCCCTCCTTACATACATTTCGTCAGATTCAGATCAGCACAGTCAGTTTGACAGCCCCTTGTAGTTAAAATTTCTCTACTGGCAAGTAGGGAGGTACATGGCGCTAACTATCAAAGGCCGTTTGAAGTTTATCATTCACAGTTAAGACTTCAAATCCTTTTAGTCTAGTTTTGCAGACAGCCGATGATTCACTAATTGTGAATGTGAAAAATTCGGGTTAGAGTGGCTACAAAAGTGAACTTGTCATCCCAGCAAATTAGAATAGAAAAGGGAGTGAGAAATTCAAAAGGCGCCTTAAGATTCAAATTCTTCCCAATGAAAAACGAATTATATGAATCACTTGAAGTCGCAAAAAAAGGAAAAACAGCAGATTCAATGAGTAGATTTAAGTTTAAAAGGAATAATTGAGCCGATAGAGGAAAACCTTTATATCTCCCCGCATCCGGGTAAAAAACATGGTTGATGAGTCGAATTTTGACACACAACACACCTAAGAGGCGAGATATATAAGGAGGGGGGG